TGCGTATCAACATCCCCACTTAAATATGGATATTAAATATAAGTTTAGTATTTAGTCATATGTTAATTTCATAAACCTACAATTATAAGGGATTAGATTATTATGTCATTGTATTTATTAATCATGACAACACTACAGCTACATGAAAAATTATACCATCAAGTGAATTGAAGTATTATAATTGACTAAGGTAATAAAAAGCATACAAGTAATATACATAAATATCTTGCAATATATCTTTTCCAATCACAGCTTCCCATTTAGCACAAGCATCTAGATCAAACTTTACATGCATACAGTAGGTATAATGGTTGTGAAGGACAATGGCAGAAAAAGGTTTTACAATAAGAAGATGATTGTAGTTTTGATGGTTGTTTTAGTTTCATGGGCAAAGGACGTATCATATTGTTTAAGCATAAAAAGTTTATTCTCGGCCTAACATGTGATTGGCCATGAATCTAATGAAACAACACATGTTACTTAAGGAGTTCCACTTAAATTGAAGTATATGCAACATAAATGAAGGATCAATGACTTGATTCCGTGTTGCTTCATGTAAGTGGCAAGATAAATAAAATCGACGACTAAATCAAATCTCCCATATGGATGAACACATTTTATAACCAAACTGCCATTGTAAAAGGAATAAATGATGAACTCAAACTAATAAATTACCATATCTAGCCTCATCATGGTAGTGCCCACAATAATAGGTGGGTCATTGTTCTACTATCTTACTTTAGGACATGAATATTATGATTTACTGGATAACAATCCACCGGTACAATGATTTGATTTCAAATGCATATGTTAATTGCATTTTGAAGTATTGCATAATTGAATGGAATGGTTAACAAGCCGTACATGGACATATATTTAGGATTATCTAGCTTCAAAAACAGCTTTAGGATTACCTCCCTTATTAGAGTGAACATTCTTAAGAATACATCTAGAGTCATTTATGGACGGGGAGAAAAATATATTTCAAGGCAGGTCACGATGTTCGAGTCTAACTCTAAGTGCTTTCATTTGTTTGCATCCAAACCCAATAGGGCAGGTAGAAAAGCATGCCAATAAACTCGAACATAGTTGATATGAAGTGCTTCTTATATTATGCTAAATAACATTATATGTTATATGATTCAAATTTGAATGAAAACTAATAAGCTTCTTGGAAACTTCAAACACACGAGGTAATATAATAATGCTTCTGAATAAACTCTTACTGTAACAATGGCGTAACACAAAAACAAGTTATGGATATGTAAAAAACAAGTATGGAGATGTAGAAAAAAAATCAAGTTATGGATGCAATACTTACTAGTAAGCATACATGGGGAATTTGATTTTTTTTTACATGATGCCTCATACGACAGTGTACATGTGAGATCTATGTTATATTTCTTGCATGTAATGTGGAAGCAACTTATAAACATAATGCATAGTACTGTTGTTTACACGAAGAATGTTGTCAGGTTCATGGTTGGTAGCAATGCCAACTAGAATTATAAGTGATGTAACCGATATATTATTGTTAGTGTAGATTCAATGTTTAATATTATAGAACAGGCAAGAAAGATCTATTGCAATGCCAGGATTATCTTATTGACAAAATGCATATATGCTTTCCATAATTACTAATCCACAACTACCACTATTTAACGACAATTTGTGCAAAGTTTTAATTCTAAATTTACTTGCTTGAACAACAAATTGACATGATACATAGCTTGTGAAAAATTATTGTTCACATAGAATAAACCAAATAACTATTCCTGTCACCGCAATAATGGAAGGCACAAAAATTTATTCTCATATATCAGGTATGAATATAAACTAAGCATGGTATGTAAAACATTGCATTACATTACACGAAAGGATCATCCTACATGAAAGAAAGTATGTACAGGGGCGTACAACCTTGCATTACGTTACAAGAAAGAAACGACCATCCTGCATGACAGAAAGTACGTAGAGAGACGTAAAACCTTGAATTACGTTACAAGAAAGAAACGACCACCCCGCATGACAAAAAGTGCGTAGAGAGATGTAAAACCTTGCATTATGTTACAAGAAAGAAACGACCACCCCGCATGACAGAAAATACGTAAAGCCCTCCATTACATCACAAGAAACGGTCATTCTACATGAAAGGAAGTATGTACAAAGACGTAAAACCTTGCATTACGTTAAAAGCAACGGTCATCCTGAGGAAAAGAAAGTATGTACAGAGACGTAAAACCTTGCATTACGTTACAAGAAACGACCATCCTACATGAAAGAAAGTACGTACGGCGACACAAAGAGAGCATAAAAGTCTTAATGACCCATGCAAATATTTACGCGCTATAATATCTTAGCATGGGTCTATGAACACGTAGGGAATCAATCATGCCAATTTGGCTATACAAAACATGAGTCACGGCATAATGAAAATTTGTTTGCTCTAGCTAGCGATGAGTGTAAACCGATATGTATTAAGCTTTCTAACCATAGCGTGTCATGATTGTTTCGCGGCTGACCAAAGGCATGAAAGTTCATAGGTAGGCAAAGGAAAAATAAAGATACCAACATAGTCCATTTCTTAAAAGACCAACATAGGTATAAGCGCTTGCGTATGTACTATGTTTAAATAAAAGAAAGAAAAAAGACCAACATAGTCTATTTTTTAAAAGACCAACATAGGTATAAACGCTTGCGTCTGTACTGTGTTTAAATAAAAGAAAGAAAAAAGACCAACATGGTCTTTTAATAATCTTCTATAAACCAATTTAAAAGGATTGTAATTTCTGAAACCTGGTTCCAACAATAATACGTAGTAGGAAACATGGTTTATAGCAAGTATTAACCCGCGAGATATTGCCAATTGTGGCCAAGTGTCCAAAGTTAATACTAGCCATACCAACAGGCATGGTCATTAGATCAACACGTTTTATACACTACCAGGCTATGAGCATTATCATGCATGATTGTTTCCCAATTTACATTATACCATAAAAATACACCATCATCAGGATGGAGGCACACCCCGAGCACGAGGAGACTCGTGTGCTGGTGGTTCCGAACCAAAAAAAATGCCACAAGTGCCATGTATCATCCAGGCTTTGTTGGAGGGAGTGGTTTGCGCTACTACGGGGGGAGGGCTGACAGCAAAGGGTGAGTGTTCGCGGACCCGACCCGCTTGGCCTTAAATGGCTCCAGCTGTGCCCATCGGAGCCCAACAGAGCGCCAGTCTATCTAGAGCGCGGAGAGAGAAAGCGAGGGGGAGGGGGAGTGGTCATGGCCCCGACGATCGAGCGCCGTGTTTAAAATCGCCGGCCCTTAATTCCGCCCGCACCGGTTACTACTACTCTACTAGTACCACCACCCCCCGCCCGCTGCTGGCGCCGTGGAGTGGAGAGAGCGAGGAGGATAGGGACGAAGGGGGTGAGGAGGGAAGATAGAAATATAGCCGGGAGCGGGCGGGGAGAGGGAGGTCCAGCCAGCCAGCGGCGGAGGAGCGGGGCTGCTGGCTAGCTGGTCAAATCGGGCGTTTCAGCTCGGTGCAAAAATCGGCATACGGGAACAAAGATCGCGGGGGTGGCGTCCGGGTGGCGAAGCAACGCCAGCGGATATCGCTCGCGGCTCGCCCTCTCGCGTGCTCATCCTCGAGGCCCGGCGCTGCTGCCGTTACCTCTCCGGCGCGTATAAATAGGCCCCGGGGCGAGCCCGGAGAGGCCACGCAGCGCAGAGTGCCAAGTTCTCTCGTTCTTCCTCCCCCTGCTCATCCTCCAGTCCTCTCCTCCTGCCCGGCGAGCGAGCGAGAACCATGGACTTCGGGGATGACCAGGAGGGGGGATCCGAGAGCAACCAGCACCAGCAGCAGCAGCAGAACCAGAACCAGCGCCGCAAGCGCTACCACCGCCACACGCCGCGCCAGATTCAGACGCTCGAGGCGTACGTAATCCTCTTAATCATGCGCCCCCTGCCTTAATTCTCGCCTTGTTTGTGATCTTAATTCTTGCCGCCGGTGATCGGTGGAGAGGAGTAATGGCGTCTGTCGTCCGTGTGTGTGTTGGCAGGATGTTCAAGGAGTGCCCCCACCCCGACGAGGCGCAGCGCGCCAATCTCAGCCGCGAGCTCGGCCTCGAGGCCCGCCAGATTAAGTTCTGGTTCCAGAACCGCCGCACGCAGATGAAGGTGAGTGCTGCCATCCATGGACTCTCGAGTCTTTGATTGCTCGAGGTTTCTGTTTTTTCTTTTATTTTCCTTCTTCTTCTCCATGATCTGGTCTTGAATTGTTTCCTGAACTGGGCGGAATCTGTTTGTTGTGGATGGCATGGATATGGCAGGCGCAGCACGAACGGCAGGACAATTGCTTCCTGCGGCAGGAGAATGACAAGATCCGGTGCGAGAACATCGCCATGCGGGAGGCGCTGAAGAATGTGATCTGCCCCACCTGCGGCGGCCCGCCCATCGCGGAAGACTACTTCGACGAGCAGAAGCTCCGGATGGAGAACGCGCGCCTCAAGCAGGAGCTCGACAGCGTCGCCGGCCTCACCGCCAAGTACCTCGGCCGCCCCTTCACGCAGCTGCCGCAGGGGACGCCGCAGATGAACGTCTCCTCTCTTGACCTCTCCATGGGCGGGGTGCCAATGGGCGGCGTGCCGATGGGCGGCGGGCACCACCAGCCGTTCGGCGGCGGCCTGTCGCTGGACCTCGACCTCCTCAGCGGGGCTGGCCTGGGCATGCCGTTGTCGGACATGCCGACCATGCATCTGCCGGCGCCCGTGACTGAAAAGGAGCGCCCCGACATGGCCAAGATGGCCACGCGGGCCATGGACGAGTTGATCCGGCTCACCCAGCAGGGCGGCAACGTCTGGGTCAAGATCCCCGGCGGCGACGGCCGGGAGACCATCGACGTCCAGGAGTACGACTCCATCTACTCCAAGCCCGGCAGCAGCAACTTCCGCGCCGGAGACATCCGCGTCGAGGGCTCCCGGGACTCGGCGATCGTGTGCATGAGCCCCGTCAACCTCGTCGAAGTGTTCATGGACCCGGTGAGTCCCCATCCATCCCCTCCAACCGTTCGACCGATTGCCCAATTCTTGATCGAGTAGTTCTGAACTGACCGTTTGCTGCTGGCTGCTGCAGAGCAAGTTCATGGAGTTCTTCCCAAGCATCGTGTCCCACGCGCGGATCACTGACCCCCTCGTCAATGGCCTGAACGGGAGGAACGAGTCCCTCGTCATGGTAACGCCGTCGAATCCGTTCCTTTCTCTTCATAGAATCTTAATCAGTCGCGATCTGAGTCTGACATAACGGTGTTGGGTGTGCAGATGTACGAGCAGCTCCAGTTCATGACGCCGGCCGTCCCGACCCGCGAGTTCAGCTTCCTCCGCTACTGCCGGCAGATCGACCAGGGCATGTGGGCCATCGCCGACGTCTCCGCGGACATGCAGCGCGAGGCCCACTACGGCGCGCCGCCGCCGCGCTCCCGCCGCCTCCCGTCCGGCTGCCTCATCGCCGACATGACCAATGGCTACTCCAAGGTCAGTCAGCAACGAGCCAACGACCGATCAGTCCATCGGCCTCTCTCCTGTGTAGCATGCTGTGCTTCTGAGAGTTGTTCTGACATGGACATTGTTTTGTTGGCAGGTGACCTGGGTCGAACACATGGAGATCGAGGACAAGAGCCCGATCGGCCCCCTGTACCGCGACATCGTGCAGAGCGGCGCCGCCTTCGGGGCGCACCGCTGGGTCGCCGCGCTGCACCGCGCCTGCGAGCGCTACGCTTCCTCGCTCGAGGTGCCCGGCGTGATGCACGGCGAGACCACCGGAGGTACCCCGATGGGCCCTTAAACCCCAAGCAAGATCGGTTTTTTGTTTTGTTTTGTTTTACTAACTACGATGATGGATTTTGTTGACAGTGACGGCCGAAGGGAGACGCAGCATGATGGCGCTGTCGCAGCGCATGGTGAGCAGCTTCTGCGGGGGCATGACGGCGTCGCCGCAGCACCAGTGGACGACCATGCCCGGCGCCGCCGGCAACGAGGTGTGCGTGCGCGTGTCCATGAACCAGGGCTCCCAGCCCGGGCATCCCAACGGCGTGGTGCTCGGCGCCGCCACCTCCGTCTGGCTCCCCGTCCCCGCCGACCACGTCTTCGGCTTCCTCCGCGACGAGAACACGCGCACCCAGGTTCGTTCTGCTTAACTCCCTACGTTCACGCACCACAGTGCACTGTCACGGTTCTTGTCACGTACGTACGGGTGACACACGCCATTGACGCCAAGTATCTCGCCATTGTTGCCGCACGCAGTGGGACGTCCTGTGCAAGGAGAATTCGGTGCAGCCGGTGTCGCGCATCCCCAACGGCCCCAATCCCGGCAACTGCATCACCCTGCTGCGGGTAATGACTAACGACTTGACGAGGCGATAATGCTCCGTCTCCATTGAATTGCTGCATTAACACTGCGGATAGTATTTGCGTTAATGGCGTCTGATCTGATCCTGGCAACTTTTGAATCGCAGGCCGTGAGCTCGAGCCAGACGCCCCAAGGTGGCCAGGCCACCATCCTGGTGCTGCAGGAGAGCTGCACGGACGCGTCGGGGTGCTCCATGGTGGTGTACTCGCCCATCGACATCCCGGCGGCCAACATGATGATGAGCGGCGCCGACCCGTCGGGCATCCCGCTGCTGCCCTCGGGGTTCGCCATCTGGCCCGCGGGCGTGGGCGGCGGCGCGTCCACCAGCGCCGCCACCCCGATGGCGGCGGGGTGCATCGTCAGCGTCGCCTTCCAGATCCTCATCAGCAGCCTGCCGTCGTCCAAGCTCAACGCCGAGTCCATCGCCACCGTCAACAACCTCGTCAGCACCACCGTCCAGAACATCAAGGCCGCCCTCAACTGCGTCTAGCCGCCATGGGCGTGCATCCACCATCCATCCGAGCTAAGCTAGAGTGTTTGTCTAGTGTTTCTGACGAGAGAGGAGGGAGAGAGAGAACAGTTGGTTGGTGCGTTGAATGCTCGCATTCATGCGCTCCACCTGCTGTTGCTGCGGCATCTCAAGCCGACGCAACTCTCTCTCTCTCTCTCTCTGTTTCTCCTTCCGTCCGTCCATCCATCCATCCATGCATCCACCGTCACACCATCTCATTCCATGTCTAGGCTTCGCTCGTTCGTCAGTCTTCGTTTTGGATTTATCTTTAGCGTAATTTTACAGGATTTTGTCCACCTTAAACTAGTTCATGCATGCATATGCATCGGTCAGGTCAGTCAGTGAGTCAGTCAGAGTCAGAGAGATCAGGAATCAGAAAGAGAGATATGATAGGCGCCCTTTGACAGCGAGAGAGTCAAGAACGAACCATTGCTGCTTGTCCCCTTCTTCCTCCTCGTGCCGCCGCAGCACCGCCACCACCATTGTTCCAGTTTTCCTCCTATGTGTTGGTGCTGCGTGTGTGTGTGTGGCAGAGAATAGGGGAGGGGGTAGGGGGTGAAATGCATGGTTCGGGTATTGACTTGGCTCCATCAATGTACAGCCTTGAATGAACATTCATTTCGGTTATAAATGGAAAAGAAAGAGATCTGGTTAAAGTTTTATGGATGAGATGATGCGCTCGATCTTGCTCTTGCTCTTGCCAGCCTCCCCCCGCTTGCTCTCCGGGGCCCGGCCTCTTACTATTGCTGCCTGTATTCGTACTCCTGTACTGCCACAAGTCTACTGCTCTCATCGCTTGCTGGCTTACTCCTGTTATTATACAAGTATGTGTGCAGCAACGGCCCCAGCTTTGTTGTCGTTGGTCGATCGATCGTCGTGTCGAAGAGACCAACCAACGAACGAAGCAGCAGCTTATTTCATGTATGTAGACGTGTCTGCGTCACGGGGCGAGCACATGCGACACGCCCAACAACCGACTCGGACGTACGCCATGCGTCGACCGGCCATGCATGCATGCGCGCGCCGCCGTGCTGTGCTGATGATCGCCGGACGGCCACGCGCTTTAAGTACGGCGGTTGGGGCCGCCGTCTGTCTCATCCATGATCCATCCATCCATCCATCCAAGGGCGCGCGTGTGTGAGTGAGCTCTGATCCAGGGAGGGAGGGCGCCCGCTCCCTATCTGGCGGCCGTACGTAGGTACGCGCGAGCAGCCTGGTCGCCATCCCCACCTCACTTAACTGCGCCATTGATGCACGCCCGCCCGCCCCTGCCCGCCGTCCGCTGAGGAGGAGGAGCTGTTCCCTTCCCTTCCCGCGCCAGCCAGCCAGCTGCTTGATCGACGCCCGCTATATGCATTCCATGGCTTGATGGCGCGCCTCCGGCTCGCTCGCTCCCGTCGCCGCCGGGACCAAATAAGTCCTGACCTACTCTGCATCGCGGCTTAACTAGTAAGCGCCATCACTGCACTGCAGATGGCTTGCACATACTCACTCACACGCATGGACAAAAGGAAAAGAACACATGCATGCACTATGCAGATCGATATGCATGCATCGATCACTCTAGAAAAAACATGCATGCCATGGTGGCCAAGTGCATGCTACTCTTTCCGTTCATGATAAGTCTTTCTAGGATTTTAATATAAACTACATATAAATATATGAACATATTTTAAAATATAGATTTACTTAATTTGTTTCGTATATAATCCTTAGTGAAATCTCTACACAAATTTATGAACGGAGGAAGTAATATGGAAGGAGCTCTGCATTTGGCTTTTGGTTTTGGCGGGCTTGGTCGATTTGGGGGATGGCTTCGTTCTGGGGGCTCTTGGTCATTTTGGGCTTCTTGTTGCGCTGGAGAATATGCGTACGACGGTATTGAATGAGGGGGCCTTAAATATGGCCATTGTCCCTGCCCATCTCTTCGCAGAGCTCTCCTACGGAGTAGTTGTCACTTGTCATTGTCCCTGCCCATCTCTTCGCAGAGCAATCTGGCCCAACTTCTCCTTTTCTTTCTACATGTATAATTTTCCTCCAATGATCCGGGATTTACACAAGTATTTGCACTGTGCGCCACGCTATACATATGGCATGAAAAGCAATCGCCGCTGATGGCTTTATGATCTGTTGTCAAAGCATTTTCTTGCCCCATGCAATTATCTCGTCCCTTGACCACTCTCCTGTCTCCCTGGAGTATAGTGGTAAAAGAGGAGAAAATTAAGTTGATTCGACGGGAGACACGGGGTAGTTAATGGCGACGCATGCAAGGCGTCAACTAGAACACTGTTTGGCAACACGGATTGTCCACGAGAAAAACTCTGCATAAATGCCCCGGCCCGGTCGATTGATCGATGAGAACCACGGGCAGCTCCAGCAGGCGTGCTGTGGCCGTGCGCGGACAAGCTGGACTCGCCGAAATCAGTGCATCTCCATCGCCAGCCGTGTGCGGACAAAATTACTGTTCTGACCTAAAAGGCTAACAATATCCCTATTTGACTTCGTTTCAAAAAAAAAATTTCGATTTTGACCTCTTTAGGTGACGCCAACATCCCTGGCGTCTGGGTTGCGAACCAGACGCTAGGAACCCTGGCGTCTGGCCCCTGGCCCGCACTGCCCGCCCGCCCGTTGACCTGCTGACGTGGCAAAGGGGGCAGACGCCAAGGACCCTGGCGTCTGGCCCTGGTAAGTGGATAACCCACGGGAAAGTGTGTGGGACCCACCCCACACACTTTTCCCAATCCACAACCCGAGCTTGAAGAACACTTGGAGCTCCCACACTCTCTCCCACCCCTCAAGCTCCCCCTCAAATTCTCTCCAAAAGGTGCATCCCTTAGGTGGATCTTTCCATCACTTTGTTGCTCTTGGTAATCTCCCCCAAATCATCCAATTATTTTTTGTTAAATCTTGTTATTTTGGTTGCATTTTATACATGTTGGTGGAACACTAGTTTTTGTTTTCTCCCTTATGTTAGTGTGAATGGCTTGGTTAACTTTGATAATATAGTGATATGCATGGTGTGTAGTAGGAATATATGCTTGTTGAGTAGAAAGATTGGGGGTTAGGGTTAGTTAGTGATTAGGGTTAACTTTGCTTAGTGTGTGTTAATTAGTGATACTTTTTTGACCATGGCAATAATTTAGTGTTGATATGATTTGGATATAATGAGATGTATTTGGATAAACACCAATTCTCATTGAAGTCTTAAATGCATTCATGCTATTTTTAGATGGAGAGACTTGTTAATGTTCATTACATGGACAAGGAGGCATTCTTGAGTAACAATGCCGACACGGGTGAGGAACCATTGGTTTTTGGTACAAGCCCTAGCTATGAGGATGTTGTTGCAAAAGTGAGACAAGTCTTAAAGTGGATGGACACCAATGTTGATGTTAAGTTAATAGGAAGGTATGATGTTGGAGTTGGAGCCAAATCTCGCTTGAAAAGTATGCCTATCACCTCGGATTTGCATTGGGATGTATACAAGGAAAAAGTTTCCCAATCGGAAGACAAGTCACTTGAATTGTTTGCCACCAAGGTTGAATCTCCTCGGTTTACCTTTGATTTGAACCGGCATGTCTCTTCCCCAATGGATGACATGAGCGAGAGGACAATGGTGCCACTTGTTGAGCATAGGGTTGTGGTTGATGACCCCAATTCTTATCACCAACCACGTCCCCGTGTACCATCTATTAAAGCAAATGAGGTTGAGTTGTATGCCCCCAATGCTTCTTGCCAACCACCAACTAGCCAACCAAATGAATTTGAGGTGATTGCTAGTGACAAAGTAATTCAAGAGGATGAAGATGCTTATGATGACGACGAAGAGCAAGAGGAAGGGTTTCATGGTAATGATGTTGGTGACTTGGATGCGTACATAGCGCAAAAGGACATGGATCGTGACTTGCCTTTTAGTCGTCAATATGCGTATGACTCGGATGACGAGCGTCCAGTTGAACAGTTGGACGAGGATGGATTCACAAAGGAGGAAAACCAAATCCACTTTGAGCTGACGGGCTTAGAAAAAAGAACTCACTTGTTTAAAGATCCCAGCCTTACCCATAGAGCTATTGTTGACGGTGGAATGAGAATGACGGCGATTGAGCCAACACCATGCCCAGATCCAGGAGAACCAAGGGTGGAGAATGAGGACGAGAATGCTTATTTGAAGAAAGGAGTGAAGTTTCTGAGCTTGCCTATGCTGAAGTTTTGGTTGACTGACTATGCCATTCGGAACCATAGGCCAATTTATGTTGAGCACTCCGACATGAAGTTGCGTTACTCCGTGGTGTGTGAGCAAGAAGGATGCCCATGGAAGGTTCGTGCAAGAAAGCTTAAATAAACCGAAGAATGGGTGTTAAAAAGTTGTGTTTCCACTCATAGATGCAAACCGCCATCGAAACCACTGAGAAAGACACACCGTCAACTCACATCTGAGTATCTCGGATACAAATGGATGAAAGACATAGGCTTTGATCCCACTGTGAAAGTGAGGTTTCTCATGCGGACGGTGAAAAAACAATTTGGTTATGAAGTCAAGTATGGGAAGGCAAAGGCAAATGCTATTAGGATGTTGTATGGTGGTTATGAAGAAGCATACAACCAGCTCCCAAGGTTGTTGGCCGCGATTGCACATAGGAACCCGGGCATGTTTCATGTGGTCGAGGATCACGAGGGAGTGTTCCACCGTGCCTTCTGGAGTTATGGACAATGCATGGAGGCGTTTCAGCATTGTCGTCCGGTCTTGTCTATAGATGGCACGTTCTTGACCGGTAGATACAAGGGCACACTAATGGTAGCAATGGCGCACTCATCAAATGACAACGTGTTGCCGTGTGCATTTTCTTTGGTGCCTTCCGAGCACCAAGACAACTGGGAGTGGTTCATGGGTCATGTTAGGCACAACGTGATTGGGGCTAGGGAGGTATGCATCATATCGGACAGGCATCATGGCATACTCAAGGCAATGGACATTGTTA